TGTTTTCGTAGTAGCTGTAGTCGCCCAGGTGCATCGAGTGTACGAAGTGGTCGGTTATATGTCAAATACTAACCTGGCGAGCTTGAACCTGAACTTGGCAACGCTGTTCCTTTAGCCGACAACTGTTCGTGACATTACGTTACAAAATTTTCCGAGCATCCGGGCATCGGCAGGGCAGCCCTCGTAGCGGGAGTTATGGGTTGATTTCCTTCATTTTTAAAAGTCGAGTAAAAATTTTTTTTTCCGATTTTCTGTCTTTATTAAGCCTTCCGAATACGTGGTTAAAATTAATGACATTATGACTGAATCACCCTGTATAGTCAGTAGGATCCAGCATCATTACTTGGCTCACCACTTTTAATGTAATTCACGTGATCGGTTTGCACAAGGAGACAAAATGTCAGTTAATGATATCGACACTTTGCGATTGAACTTGTTTCATTATAGGTACTATGTATACAGTTTCTTGAAACACACTTTTTCGTTTACAGAAACGCAATTTGAATGTCCACGAAAAATTTTACACGATTTTCAGAAATTATTTAAACAAATTACAAATTAGACAAAATACTGTTTGCATGTAAATTGCGACCTACCTAGGGCTTCCCAGCGACGGAAATCTTCGGGATTGCCCCTGGTGTAGATCACGTAGTTTATGACGGTGCTGCCTCCGAGCGCTCTGCCTCTGGGCCAGGAACACCTGCCCTCCTCCATAGCCCTGCAGCAGTTGTCCTGCTTCTCCATGGTGTAACCCCAGTTGTAGGGGGTAAGCTGGAAGGCTGGTGCCAGGAGGGGTACCAGGGTGAGGGGGTTGCCCCTGGAGCCGGCCTCCAAAAGGAGAACCTTCCATTTGGGGTTCTCCGAGAGGCGGTTGGCGAGGACGGAGCCCGCGGAGCCCGAGCCGACGATAATAAAGTCATAGTGTGCGTCTGAAATTTCGAAATATTTATAAATAGTCCAATCAAATTACTTTTTCAGGTGCCAAAAAATAGTTCAGTAATTATTCAAAATATGTAAAAATTCCGTAGAATCCAATGAACTACTTTACCCCACCTGAATTTTTGGGCTTCATTTTGAAGATGGCGTCCAAAGTTCGCGAAAAACAATTTTTTTATTTATAGAAAATACTAAACATTTTAGAAAAAAATGTTTCACACAAAAGTTGTAGGAATTTTTATTACGGATCGTTGATCGATAAATAAATTAATTAGTTATTGCTAAAAATCGCAATTTTTTTCAAATAGCTGTATCTGTTTCAAAAATAAATATTTTTTTATTAAACTTGGTGAAAGGATAGCTGTTGGTGAGCAAAATAAAATGATCTTTTCAAAATTGAAAAATATTTTAAAGTTTTTGCAAAAATCGAGCTTTTCGAAAAAAGCGTTTTTGTAAAATTCCCATAAATCATAAGCCGCCACATCTTTAGGAACGGGGTTGGGCTTAAAGTTTTCTTTAATAATTACACTATTATATGTAAATATTGCGCGAGCCTCAAATCGATTTTAAATATCGCAAAAAACGATCGAAAAGTCGAATTTTTTTTTTTCGGGACCATAAAACTGATTAACTTTTTGATTTCAATTCGTATTAGAATGTCGATACTGCCATTCAAAAGTTAATATTTTTTCACGAATTTAAAAAAAAAGTCTGTCCTACCACCAACAGGGGCCGAGAAAAATGTTTTTTTTTTTCGAAAAATCGCCGCGACCTCATTTATTAATATTAACGGGTGAAATTTACACATATTATAGTTGAATACTTGTACTTCAATATAAAAAATAGTCCGCAACGATTGGTCCCATTTTCTTTCATTAAACTTCATTTTTATGGGCCCCGTATATTGCTTATCAGATATGAAATTGTATTTACATAATGTTACCTGTCTTATTGAGATAAGACTTATTGTTAAAACGATTTGAAATGAGCAGTCTAATTAGAAGGAGGATTATGAATTCTATAATTTTCCTATACAAGCTTGTTAACAATGGTATGGATTGCATTATGCTTACCTCTGTTGTTAGCTACAGAGTTCCTAGAGCCAACGCCAGATCTAATAATTTATTTGTTGTTCCCTACTCCCGTACTAATATTTTGCAGCGGTCTCCCTTGTATATGATGCTAAGAAATTACTGTAACATTGAAGAACGGCTGGATATATTTAACTGTACGATTGCGGATATAAAGCGTGCTTACGCATTTTAAGATCTTTGTTTTATTCTTATAACTCATGTTTTATTTTTGTCTTTCATTGTGTAATATTTGTTATATCATTGTTATTTATCTTATATTGTTTTGCCGTTTTTTTTTTTTAAACTATTTTTGATGTTCTATTCCGTTTTTATTGTCTCTTTTTATACCATTTTGCTGTTTTATTGTAATTATGCTACTTTATGTTACATATTTTCTGTTTCTATTCATCCTGTAAAAGGGTTCTCATCCCGTTGGATGAATTAAATTAAATAAATAAATAAATAAATAATAAAATATTAAAAAAAGAAATCATGTTAAACAGTAGTAGCGAAGAATGGAGGCCTAAGAAACGTTAAAAAATAAATTAATATAATTTTCATACAATCAAAAAAATAACTGATTGTATACTTTTATTTACAAGTTTAATAAACCAAGAATTTTTCTATTTTCCGCCTTTTTATTTCTTCAACTAACCGACATTACTTTTATTATTTTGTTATCTCAATAAGATACGTATCATTATGAAAATACAAATTCATAACTGATAAAAAAGCTTTATAAAATGTACATGAAAAGAAAAAATACCCGTAGTTCGTTAAGTAGGATCGATATATACAATAGTATATAGTATTGCAGTCTTCTCCCTCCGCTAACCGCGCGTATGAACGTTTCGACGAGCAAGCAATATACGGGACCCATAAAAATGAAGCTTAATGAAAGAAAACGGGGCCAATCGTTGCAGACTATTTTTTATACTGAAGTACAAGTATTCAACTATAACATATGTTAATTTCAGCCCTTAATAAATGAGGTCTTGGCAATATTAAAAAAAAAAAAAACATTTTTCTCGGCCCCTGTTGGTTGTAGGATAGACTTTTTTTAAATTCGTGAAAAAATTTCAACTTTCGAATGGCAGTATCGACATTTTGATACGAATTGAAATCAAAAAGTTAATCAAAGTTTTATGACCTCGAAATACAACCGATTTTTCGATAGTTTTTTGTGATATTTGAAGTCGATTTGAGGCTCGCGCAATATTTGCACATAATAGTGTAATTATTAAAGAAAATTTTAAGCCCAACCCCGTTCCGAAAGATGTGGTGGCTTATGATTTATGGAAATTTTACGAAAACGTTTTTTTTTTCGAAAAACTTGATTTTTGCAAAAACTATATTTTTCAAATTTGAAAAAATAATTTTATTTTGCTCGCCAAGACCTATCCTTTCACCAAAGTTTCATAAAAAAATATTTATTTTTGAAAGAGATACAACTATTTGAAAAAATTGCGACTTTTAGCAGTTTTTTTGCAATAACTAATTTATTTATTTATCGATCAAAACTGGCTTGGGTTTATTCAATCCGTAATAAAAATTCCTACAACTTTCGTGTGAAACATTTTTTTCTAAAATGATTAGTTTTTTCTATAAATATAAAAAACTGTTTTTTGCGAATTTTGGACGCCATCTTGAAAATGAAAAATTCAGGTGGGGTAAAGTAGCTCATTAGATTCTATGGAATTTTTCCTAATTTTTACATATTTTCAATCACTGAACTATTTTTTGGCAAAAAAAATTAGATATTTTCGACAATTTGAATAAAAGTTTGATAAAGTTCTCAAGTACAACCTTAATGTAACCGTTGTTGAAAAAACAAATGCAGTCATTTTTTGTGTGTCTTTTTTTATAGAAAGTGAACCTTGCACACATACGTTTTAAATAGCTGTACAGTATACTGTGTTATAATTTATTGATTTCTTTTCTCGGAAAAAAAATTAGTAATTAAAAGTCAAATTTAAAATAAATAAGACTTTTTGATTGATTTTTTGTTGAGCACCGCTGACTACTACTGCACTTAGATATTGACTAGCATAGTTAAACTTTTCATGCCTTGAGTAAAAAAATATATAATATCGGCGTAAATTAAAGTATACATATGTATATGTTTAAGGTTCACCCTACTGTAACTTTATGCAAACTCGCAAAAAACTTCTTACCAATGAAACTTCCAAATCTAGGATTGTTAGTAGCGGCTTCTTCCGTTGGATCCACTGGGGGCAACGCATTTAGTAGCGTTGGTGGTAAATTTATTGTTAAATAGGTACTCATCCCGGAGAAACGGTTTAATAGTAGTAAAACTACTAGAGGAAAAACCATTCTTCATGAAAAAAAAATAAAAATAAATGTATTGAAGTACCTATTTACTTGATTCTAGTTGAAATTAATTATTTATCCGTGTAGACGGGAACGCCGTACTTAACATTAAATTTATAATTTATTATCATTGATGACCTTCATACAAAAATAATCTTAGTGGATAACCGTGACCAAACGAATATGTCCTGAAGCTAACAAACTATGTCAAGAAAATTTTAATGTTAAATCTCAACAGAGCAGCAAGGGTATAAAAATACAAAAAATATCTGATTGTGAAATATAGTAGAATATTCGTGGTTCATTTATATCGACAAAAAAATATTGATACGCGTTTATATGTTTCTTCACTGTACCAGTTACACAAGTTTTCATCGGGGTATGAGATAGTTTACTAGCTGACAATACGTTCAGAATTAGGGAAAAAAGTATGTTTTTACTTCTTACGTTTATAATCACACCCCGTAGAATGCTTTTATGAAACTATTAACACATGAATGAATCAAAATCGTTGAGTATATTTTGAAAATTCTCGACAAACAGGAAAGGCACATTCTCGTGTTTATGGATACCCATGGGTGTCCATTTTTTCGTCATCTTTCGCTGCGAAAAAATAAAGGAATTTTTGTATTTTAAAATCTGTTGTTTATTTTATAATCGGCGTTGATGATTAGTTGCTTACGATTATAAAAATAAGTATTAACTTACGTTTTAACTGATTCACATCAAATGAGGAACTGAGATTCAAAACCGTTAGACGTAATTATTTAAAAACCCGTTAATTAATTTTTCATTGCGTAATTCATTAGGCTGATAATTATCTTTCACTTTAATTTGATTTTCACTAATTTTTCTCTTCCTCGACTACTGCAGAAAAAAGAGTACCTGATACGAAACCTACAATTCGATGAGTGATTTGACTGTTATGTCTCACCCATGTACATGGTCGAATTTTAAAGGAGGATCAAGTTCGACGGGCATTTTTTAGAGTATTCGAGTATGATTGGCGAACATGTTTTGCAAAGGTCATCGTTTCATCTGTCTCTGTTTTACAAGGTTACGTTTACAACTATATAGTTAAATACAAATTTTTCGTTAAACATCCCTGGAAATATACCATACTGTAAAACTTGCTCTCTTTATTGCATATGAAATTATAATTACTAATGAATTACGTATTACTATAATATAGTGTCGCTTTTATTGCGTTCTTACGAAGGTACCGTGCACATTTTTTAATGTCTGTATATCTTTTTTATTATGTCTGCCGCCTTCTCTGCAATCATAATCGAGACTGCACCCACGTGGCCCGAAATGGTGACAGGGATGACGCTCGCATCTACAACCATCAATTTTCCTACTCCATGTACCTGCAGAATAATAGATCGCTGTTATACGCATACCATAATAATATGAGATCTTATCACCTGCAATTTTCTATCAACCACTGCTTTTTCGTCCGAGGTAGGTCCCATTTTGCATCCTCCCATGTAGTCGTTGAAGCTCATGGTCAACTTCTTGACAGTGCATTTCCAGTATTTTTCAGAGTACAACTTGAACTCGTCGCAAACTGGAACGGGATACAGAGCTGCGTCCACCTGAAAGTTTATGTCAATACAAATGAAAAAAAAAAAAAACAAAAACTGGCGCTTACATCTGCAAATTTTTTTGTTTTTACCAGCTTCTCTACAAATTTAATCGCAACCACCATTTTCCTGAGATCGCTTGTCGCCGACAAATAGTTGGGTTGTATGATTGGATCTTCCTCGGGATTCTTTGATCGTAGTTTTATAAATCCTTTGGATTTGGGATGCAAGAGTATAGGAAAGATATTGGCACCTGCAATCGACCAATATTATATTGTTATGATAATGTGTGTGTACGAGAGTATATGTTAGCGCCAAAAAAATTTTATTGTTGTGATATCAATTTGGTTTTGGTGTATTGGTGGTTGTATACCTTCGCCCTACCTAGCTCTAGACTCCTCTCAGTAGTCGGTTCTATTCACTATATGCTTTAGCAAGAAACCACACACAATCACAACTATAAATACAAAAGGGTTATTAATAAATGAATTTATTATTGTTTTGTTATCTATATGTCAAAATTTGTCTTAAACACAATAGTCAATATTTTGAAGTATTTCACACTATTTACAAAACCTTAAACAAGATATTATATCGATACGACCGTTATAATTGAATTTCATGTATGACTGGTTGCATACATTAAGACATTGACATTTTATCTTATACCTTCTTGTTTAACAACTGGTTATTTTTTTCTAAGATTAATATTTAATTTTACAAAGATTGGCCAATTTTGATTATGTCTGATATATTTAAATAAATTTGTTTAATATGGAATTAGTGACTTGCTAAACTTTTTATATACTAACTTCTTACTTTTGAAAATCTGTATCAAGCTATTTCGTATACGAATTTTGCTTTTATTATAAAGGTACCTTTTATACGTATTATCGATAATGACTTGTCGACTGATTTCTCTCCTTTACTCTGCTTGATTGTTTTCCTTAATTCTTGTCTATCCTATCTCGCTTCCTTTCAGGAACCTATCGACTATGCTGCTTTCTTACTGGTCTCCTAGTCCCAGCTACTGATGTGTGGTTTTCTTACTGTTCTCCTGGATCCTGCTACTGATATTCCGTTTTCTTACTGGCCTCTGGAACCTGCTACTGCTATTCCGCGTTCTTTCTGTCTTCCTGGACCTTGTTTGTTGGTGCTCCGCTTGTCTCGTATTTCTTGGGTCACTTATTTTACCACTTGGTACTTTTAAATTCTTGATTTCTCCTACTTGAATCTTTTTACACTCTCTCGCTTATTAACTGCTTATATTTCTATAGGTTTTCTTTTCTTTCTTCAACAACTGTCGTTTTTCAAAATTATTTCTGTAACTAATCAATAATAATCTATTTTCTTTTTTACTATCTTGATTTTTCTTTTCCTTCTAAAGGCCTTTCCACATATCTTTTAACGTGCTATTTTCCTCTTGTAATTCACTTCACTTCACTTTCTCCTTTGCACTTATACACCCTATTCTACTTTCTTTACAATCAATTTTGCCTTATACTTCAAAATATTTCTTATTTTCTAACATTATTTGACCTTTCTAGTGACTACTGAATTCCTTGTGGATCCCACTTTAAATTTGACATTTTTCTGACATATCCTTTTAATTAATCTTCAAATTGTCTTTCGATTTTAATATCTTTTATTAACTCTTATTCTACCTTATTTTTTAACTATTTAATCAAACTCTGGCATTTTAACTTTTGTTTGCTATCTACCAATTCTGCATTTTAATTAATTTCAACTATATTTTTCTTATAACATCTTGGCATATGCTCCAATTTACTGACATGATAATCAAGTCCGTAATAAATTTTGTAATAATCATTTCAACCATTGCCTTTACCGCTTTCTCTTTTAAATAAATATTTAATTTAAATTTTACTTTTCTCTCGTTAATCTGGTTTCATCTCAATATATTTGTAATGGTTTTTATATACAAAAAATGTAAATGAATTGAACATACAATTGCGCTGTACCTACATTGTGCGGAAATATATGTTTGAGTTTGAGTGTATATTTTCTTTTTGCGATGATATGTGTTATTCCCCATCCTTCATATGGTTTTACTACATCTGACGTAAATATCCGAATAAAAATATGATCACCCGGTATGGTGTTACATGGCGTGTATAGGGAACTGTGCTTGTTGTTCAGTGTGATGTAATTTTACATAAAATTTGTATGAATGTACAGCGATGATGTTTACCTGAACTGAAATTATAATACCTATAAATTCCACTACGTTTTGGAAGCATTTTTTGTAAACTCCTCCCGCCATGTTGGTCAAAGTTTTTAGATCTTTGTTGAGGATGTTGTTGGCCAACAATATCTCGACGTCTGGGACATGCCTCTTGCTCATGTTCGTTTTGATGAATCCGATAGCTTCTATACCAACAGGGCTCGACGCAATGCTTTTTTTCCGGCAACTACAACAAATTTTTTGAAGGGATATTAAGTGCGTTCGCGATTCCTACCTATTATTTCCAGTGATGGAACTAGATCGAGTAATGTTGATCGGCAAACTGGTCAGGTAATTGAGTCCGAAGTAGGCGATGTGGTCTCTAACACCTAATCCAACCGACAGGTTCTGGATCACGCGTATACCAAGCTTCTCCAGATCTGCCTTTGGACCTAGGAAAAATAATAAATTAATCAACCCATAGCGTCTCTACACAACACTGATACATTTGTGACTTTTGTGACGTTTTAGGTGTTGTTCTTGGTGTTCATCATGGGTGTGAATAATAGCACAGAACAAATTCCATTAAATGGATTTGCTTAAAAAAACAGTGTGTTTCAAATTGGTTTGTTGACGGGACTTGATTGAACTATTTACTTCATATACAAGTTGCTTTAGTAACTTTAATTATTGTAATTATTATGTAGATAGATATTATACAGGGTGTAACTAAATAAGTGTAAAACATTTAAGAGGGTGATTCCTCATCGAAAAAAAGATAGAATCTTTCATATAAAGAAACTTCATTGGAGCATCCCTTGTTAAGATACAGCCCCTTAAAGGGGGTACATAAAATTTGTTTAACAATTTTTTTCACAAGCACTAAACAAGTTACAATATTGAAATTAACCTGACATTTTCTACTACCAAAAAGACACTTAGCCAGTAATTTATTTGGTTTACCCCATGGTTGTAAGGGGTGGAAAACGCAACCCCTAAAATTTATTTCCAACGTAATTTTTTGTCTTATTATTTTTTTACCATTTAAAAATTTATTTCCGATAGCCTGTTTCATTCTAAAAAAAAATGTCTCTTGAATTTTTTGCCCAAATTAAACCAGTTCGCAGCAAAAAATTATTTTACGAACAAGATACATATCGCCATAAAACGAAAATACGAAACTAATTTATCTAGTAGGCCGCCATTAGCGATACTGACAATTAAATTGGAATCAAGCTGTCAGTTTGTAAATTTTTGAAATTGAAGTAATACTAATTGTGTATTGTTCTGTTCTTAATTTGTTACTTTAATAATTCACTTGTTATTAAAATGGCATACACAAATGAGGAAATGGCTGATATGCATTACGTTTACGGTCTGTCGCAGGGGAATGGGTTAGAAGCTTCTACAAGATATGCTGAAATGTATCCTCAACGGCAGCATCCTTCACATAGAATATTTGTCTGACTTCATCAACGATTACGTGAATATGGTTCATTCAACAAAAGAACGCAGGATTGTGGTCGCCATCGAGAAGTAAGAACACCACAGCTTGAGGCAGCAGTACTTAATTTGATAGAAGAACAACCTACTACCAGTACTAGAAAGATTGCTTTCCAGCTAAATGTTGATCATATGACGGTATTTCGAATTTTAAAGGAACATCTCTTATACCCTTACCATCTGCAACGAGTACAGGCACTGTTACCGCGAGACTTTCCGAACCGTCTTGAATTTTGCAATTGGATGCTGGAAATGATTAGAAGAAATCGTGACTTTCTGAAGACGATCGAATTCACAGACGAATGTAGTTTTTCTCGGGACAAGATTATTAATTTTCATAATTACCACATATGGGCTGATGAAAACCATCACGCTATTGTCGAAACTAACCATCAAGAACAGTTTTCTCTTAAGGTGTGGGTCGGAGTTATTGGGGATTATTTAATTGGGCCTCATTTTCTACCTCCTCGATTAAATGGTGAGGCATACGTTCAATTTTTAAGAAAAGTGCATCCCCCCGTACTGCTGGAGGAAGTTCCTTTGGGCGTCAGAAGGGATATGGTTTTTATGCATGATGGGGCTCCCGCCCATTTTAGTCAAGTAGCACGTCAGCATTTAACTGAAACATATGCAAATCAGTG